AAAAAAAAAAGTAGAAATATACCAAGCATCAGATCACAGTAAACAAAAAAAAAGAAGAAAAATACCAAGCATCAGATCACAGTAAACAAAAAAAAAAAAAAAAATATAACAAGCATAAGAACAAAGAAAAAAAAAAAAAAAAAAAAAAAAAAACAAAAAAAAAAAAAAAAGAAAAAAAAAAAAAAAAAAAAAAAAAAAAAAAAAAAAAAAAAAAAAAAAAAAAAAAAAAAAAAAAAAAAAAAAAAAAAAAAAAAAAAAAAAAGTAAAAATATACCAAGCATCAGATCAAAAAAAACAAAAAAAAAAGTAGAAATATACCAAGCATCAGATCACAGTAAACAAAAAAAAATTAGAAATATACCAAGAATCAGATCAAAGTAAACAAAAACAAAAGTAGAAATATACCAAGCATCAGATCACAGTTTTAAAAAAAAAATCTTTAGAGATTTCCTTTTGTTGCTAGAAAGAAGTTTTTTCTCTAAATAACGTTGCTGACATCACAGCGCTTTGAGCACGCTAGAATAGCACGGACATCTTTACAGTAAAAAAAAAATGTGTGTATCAACAGAAAGCGATCATAGAGAAAAAGCGAAACACAAGGCTGATTCAATTATAATGTGTTTAACGGTTAATCTTTCTTAAATTATGAGAATCATAAACATTACGAGATTCAGAACTCCTTTTTTCTTTGTGGTATTAATATATCATTGAAATGATTATTCGTTCGAATATGTACACCAACCAGGGCCGGCTCGAGGTACCGGAATGTCGGGCCCCGGGGCGCGATGTGCTTAGGGCACCATCAACGCTATTCCAAAATAGCGAAAACAAATCATTGCATTTTGGAGCCATGGAAGAAAAATAGAACGTGCAATAAAAAAATTTCGCTGATCTAAAGGCTAGAAGAAGATGTGATCGGTCGGCGCATTGTTTATATTGTCAAAATACAAGTTAAGGAAAAAAAAAAATCAATGTTTCATTTCTTTTTTTTTTTTTAATGTAAAAAAAACAACATAAATTAATAAAATCATATCCTAACCCTTAGTTTTTTCTTTGCAAAATCATTGTATGACTACACATAAAAAGAAGTGCTCCAAATTAAAGCTTGCCCGGGGTGCCATCCGCCGTAGGGCCGGCCCTGACACCAACTCGACGAATTAAAAAAAATATTTAAAGAAAAGTAAACTAGTTCAGGGCAGAACAAGAAATATCTAACATTTTTTTTCCTTGGAACTATAAAACACATGGCGTCGTATCAGAGGCGTAGCGAGGGTGTTTGGCGCCCGGCGACAAGATTCGCGCCCAGGGACAAGATCAATTTTAAAGCTCCCCCTTTTCCATTTTTCAACTCTCAAACATATTACTTTTACCAATAATATAATATCAAAGCACATTTTGGCGCCTCTAACTAGCTGGCGCCCGGGGACATCTATCCACCCTGTCCAAAGTTATTTTTAAATTTAAATACAAAAAAAACAACAACAAAAAACAAAAAAAAACTATAAAACAAATTTAGGGGTTGATAACATGTTGGAATGTTCAAGATATTGAGTTTAAATTCATTTAGTCTCTCCTACAGAGAGGTGGGGGACACACACACACACATAAAATCGTTAAGGCTTTGTGTAATCGTGGTTTTGGGGGGGGGGGGGGGGGAGTGGTAGGGGGGGCAGTGGGGATAACGTGTCTAACAGGTTTTGGGACGGACTCTTTTTCTTTTTTTTTTTTTTTTTTTTTTCTTTTTTTTTTTTACACCAGGTGAGGGTCCTGTTAGGCGAAGGCAATACACAACGGGACCAAGGGGGGTAACCGTCTTATTGTTCTGTGATCTTCCCAATGGGGGACAAGGTGAAAAGAAGACCACGTACTTAATAGAACCAGCGGCGATCACTTCCTTGTAAAAGTTGAAGGCTTCCAAACTCTAAAAGCTGAACGACAATCCTAACCCAGCGATTGTCTTTGTAGTGCCGGGATCCCGTTACAACAACTGGCGGCAACACAGAGCCAGTACTGAGCCCTGCCATCGAGAAACAGGGGGTGAAAAGAGGGGTGGGGTGGTGGTGGTGGTGGTATAGCTTTTTCTGGTTGTTTCAGTCGATAAAAAGGCGTTGCTTCTGCAATTTTGATTGGGGGTGGGGGGGCTGGTGGGGTGGAGGGAAACTGAAATAAGTTCTAAGAAGGGGAGGGCGGTTTTCTAGAAGTGGGTGTTGTGATACCAAGAAAATTTATGATAAATTAACATACCTGGTTATATTTTGAATTGCAGATACAAAATTTTAAGTGGAGAGGGGTGGGGAGGGGCGGGCAATATTAATAACAACACAAAGGTCAAAGGGAAAAAACAACAAATTAAATTCCTAAATACAGCGATTTTTTTTTTAATGAAAAACAAAACTCACCATATTTAAATTAAATAAGTTGCTGCTGTATCTAGTGACTGATTCGAAGAAGTTTGTAATTTGATGGTAATGTAGTTTAGCAACAATCAGGAATCAGTCTGATAATATTTACAAATTTTAACATAAAATTTAAAAAAAAAAAATAGAAAGAAAAATAAGGACATTATACAACTCCCCACCCTACAAATTTCTGACTTTCTCAAGTTACCCCTTAAATTTTATCAGGATGACTTTACAGGGGTCAAGTTCCACAAGTTGAGAACCACTGCCATAACTCATAAAAAGGGGGGTGAAACTTCACTATGTGCATCACGTGACTTGTTGCCTGTGATTTGTTGCCGGTGACTTGTTGCCGGTGACTTGTTGCTGGTCACTTGTTGCTGGTCACTTGTTGCTGGTCAGTTGTCATTGTTCATTGTTTACGGTAGCTTGCTGCTGGTCACGCCTTGCCAGTCCCTTGTTGCTGGTCAACCCTACGCCGGCCAATGGACAAGTTGGCTCACCTTCTCAACCCTACATTGTAGTGACTAACATTGTCATGACTGATATTGTTATGACTGACATTGATATGATATACATTGTTATAACTTATATTGTTATAACTGACATTGTTATTACTTATGTTGTTATGACTGACATTATTATGACTGACATTGTTATGACTGACATTGTTATGACTTACATTGTTATAACTGACATTGTTATGACTGACATTTTTATGACTGACATTGTTATGATAGAGATTATTATGAATTATTGTTATGACTGAAATTGATATGACTTACATTGTAATGTGTGGCATTTTTATGACTTACAT